ATATTTGGTTCACAGTTTTGATTTTCTGTTGTTTATTTAACTTGTGGAAATTGATTTTTATCCAAGTTTCAATTTTGATATACTTTTCTAGGTTATGTTATTGATTTAAGACTAAATAACATCTTAAAAAATGAAATTTCTGTACTTTAAATGAAAGTATTTTAATTTTATTGTTAGAATTGCATATTTTTACTCAATGAAAACTGTGATTTCAGAAAACAATTCCACAATTAAACATAACCTCAATTTTTTTTCATAATAAACTGTTGCAAATTTGAGTTAGAAATAAGAAAGAAAGTTAATCAGAGGATTATGATCACGAAAAATTCTCAAAAATGTAATTTTAACTGAAGAAAACCATAAAATATTGAAGGAAAACGTAAGTTTTAAAGTTTTAAGTTAGATTTGAGTTAGTTTTCGGTTAGATTTTAGTCAGATTCCAGTTATCAGTTGATTTTAGTCTCGTTATAAACAATCCATGATCTCTAAAGTTCTGGAAACTGTTGAGGATTGGTCATACAAATCGTGGAAGTATCAGGAAGTTGTGTACAGTTTATCACCATATTATCTTCCCCTTGGGCTAAACTTTACACTCTCCTGTTCAGACAAGACTGATTTTTATCCAATTGCCATTCATCTTTGATATATGATCGAAAGTATGCATTTTTTTAGCACAATTCTCAAATTTCATGTGGAATTAACATCTAGAAAATGAAGAGAAGAACAGGTAGAAAATGAAAGTCACACTATCTATTCTGTGCACTTCCCAGTTTGCAGAATCATCGACTCTATTTACACGAGAGTGAGACGTTCTTGAGAGAAGGAATTATATGAATGTCTGCTGTATTTGCATTTCATTGAATTAATTCAGATGGAAGAGAGCTTCTGGTGACAAGATGAAAAAGCAAATACACAAACACACATGATATAATTAATGCTGAAAATGTGATATATTGTGTACAATTTGTCAATGAAAACAGGAATCCTCGTGATCATGACAGGGTGAGTGGCAATTCGCCCCAATTGATTCAATTACAGTCTCGCCCCTAAACCCCAAAAGCTCCTTCACGCGCCAAAGTGCCTCCTAATGATTGCGCGGCGAGAACCTCTTTAAAATCGCACACTTGTCACATGACACATTTCAACGCTCGCACTTCAAACACATCCTGTTGGGGATCCACTCTCTGCAAACCCCACACACACACACGCTCTGCTCCTGACTGGGGATGTGTCAACATGAGCCAGAAGCCAAGTTGGAGGATGATTTTCTTCCTTGTTGAAAACTTGATTTTCCCTTTCATTGCCTTCTGCCATTGTCAAGTGTCAAGCGCGTCTTTCCTCACATCATTCTCTCTATAGCTTCCTAGTGCACACAATTTTCCTGCAAATTGACTTTCCCACCTTTCGTGGCGTGAAGAGTCATTTGGGAAAAATTTCATGTATATGATCCCATCCATTGTAGTTCTGTCAATTCCATCACACAAACTCCACGCCTCGCTGTGTTTGCACAAGAATTAGTCACAGGTTCAACACTTCGAACACTTCAATTCCCCAATCATCCTTCGCTTGGCTGTGAGTCATTTGGAACGAATGGTTGTTTTGAGCTTTCAATACACATCATACAGGGTTGTTCTACAAGTTATGCGAATACAAAATGATTGGAGTGATTCCCAATCAAACAAGGAATGTTAAAAATGTGTAATATTAGTTTAAAACAATGCGTTGATATTTTGTGTCATACATATTCGGCTTAAAATTGCGAGTGTGTTAATAAATTCACCACATGTGTTAAAAATTCACCACGTTTGTTAAAATTTCACCACTTTTGTCATTTGCGATTCTGATTCACACGTGCTAAGCCAATTTGTACTCTCAGAATGTGTTAATTCAACACGATCTTCAGAGGTTATTTTAAGGAATGTGTCAAAAGCAGATTGACAGATCGGAAGCTGCAGAATAAGTTGCAAATATGGATCAATCTGCAATTGTGTTTCTAATTTTGAAGCTTCTAAATTCTTTGTTTTAACCCTGATTTACTTGAGTTTTAGCAAGAATATCAAGGACAGTTTTTCCTTATTCCTCAGTTTAACATTCCTGTGTTTGAATGGGAATTGATCCAGATATCTGTATAGTGAGTGTAACAGTTTGCATTCATGCTTCTGCATTCTCCGCACAACACTGTAGAGACTGTTGTGAGTGAAACAATACAGAAAACCCACTGTCCATTCAAATATAGCTCAAGATGGCAAGAAATGAGGTGAATTTTATAAGCCAAGCATGACGCGTCGATTTAATTCCAACAGCTTAACCATGTGGCATTTTGTTTGGACTTTCTGCGGCGCGAATGTATGACGAAACGATCGCAAGAAAAACACATAGTCTTAGTGTGACAAAGAACAGCCGACACACCTCCGCGTCTTTTTCGCTAATCCACCCACAATCTCATGATTTTCACATCATTGATTTTAATAAATACACACAGTTGTCCGAAAAAAGCCATAGAAGAGCAGTTTAACGATGAAAAATTTCATCTTCAGCAGACCGTGGAGGAATATTAAAATTTCTATTAGCCGACGACGACCTGATGAATGACGGCGCAGTTTATGGTGAAAACAAAACTGCCTTGCCCTTCTTTCTTCGTCTCTATGTAACACCTTTCTTCCCCCCAACTCCTCGATGAATTATTAAATATATGAAATACACCAGCTTCATATGCACTTTACATTGTGCAGTTTTGTGCGGAATTTTATGCAATTCCGCGGACAATATATAAAAGGGCGTGAAGAGTGATTTTATTGCACTCTCGGAAGGATTCATTCTTGCATAATCCTCAGGAAAAGAAGTGTGTGTAATGAGATAAGGAAGAAAAAAAAGGTGGTGCAAGAAAGTGGCTGAGAAAATGCTAGTGTAATAAATGTGAGGCAGGAATAATTTAAAATTTAAATATTCCCAACCAAGAAATTGATCATAAATCCATCAAAATCTGAGAAAATATTCATTGCACTTCTTCTTGCATCTCAAGCAATTTATTCATTTCTCTCCTCCTTTACTATATATTCTCTCATGCCCACACAATTAGCGTCTCATGAGATTCGCGCCTGGTAGAGATGAAGAAAAAAAAAGCAGCTCTCTCAGACCAAAATAAAGAATCATGTGCATTATTAAATACAAACGAACATTTCCTGTAACAATAAATGAACAGTGGAATTTTCTATAAATAAAACCAGTAACACACAGAGAAAGAGAGAACATTGGCAGAAGTGAGAAGAAATAAAGGGAATGCAAACATGCTTATATTCTTTCTTAACACATCACAGACTGACTTGGACATATGCACTGCACCACCAAGGATTATTCATAGAGTCACAAACACATCTTGTTCCTCTTCTTCTTCCCTTCTGTCTCTCTCTCTCTCTGTGAGAAAAGCCAAACGATTCTCTTCTCCAATTAGTGGGAAAAATGTCGAGTTGGGGATTTAAAAGTGAAAATTAATACATGAAACAAAGATAAACACCTCCGATGGCGTAAAGGCATTAACACTTTCCTGCAACACTTTAAATCATCAACACAAGCATTCTGGTCAGTCTGAAGACTGTGTATAGATTCATAAATCATCATAACAGCAAACACAACTCCTTTTATTCAAGCCCTTTTGCACACGCGATTTAGCAGCTGCAAAAATGCAGATGCAACAAACAATAATTCCTAAGATTGTTGTTTGTTTATTTGAAAAGGGACTTAAATAATGCCATCCACTCATGGGAAATCACACACATAAGAAGTCCTCAAGAAGTTTGCTTAACAATATTCTTTCCAATTCCCAGAATACTTCTTCGTAAATAACGATAAAACGTTGTTTTCCTATTGCAAATTAACCAATAAAAACATTATGGGTCGTTGCAACATTACGAATTTCGTATTTCAATTAATAAAAGCTATGAACTTGGGTTGCAACTTTACACTTTTACGAAATACGAACAAAAAGGCGTTGCAAGGCAAAGTTGGAAGTTTATTTAGTACGAATTTCGCGAAGAATTAGTTCAACTGGACGAAATAGTGAATCCCAGTGACAAAACATCTTCATCTGTGACTGTTCCTGACATTTCACGTGTTTCCAATGGAATTCTTGAAGAATTCTTCTGCCCAGAATGTCCAGGAAATTGTCTTTGTTCTAACATCGAAACATAGCTTTTTATGCACTTGAAAACGCTTTGGAAAACCAATTAATTTCCTTGGAAAGAGTCAGATGACGACCGGAAGCACATAACCTCAATCTATCAACAAGATAAATCCAAGAATTTTATACTAATTAACTTAAGAACATCATTATTGTCAATTTTCTTGATTTTCACATGTATTTTCTAGCTTTTCTTATCTTCACACAACGAAATATATTAATTGACGTCAGATGTCAACGTTTTTCCCCATTGTATAGCTTATTTAAAATGTTATGAACGCAATGTTGCAACGACACGTAAGATCATAATCGATGCGGTACAGAAAGGAAATAAACGTTAAGAATTCCACTGCAGATGATTATCAGAAGTCTGTCACTTTAGGACTTTCTGTCATTGACAATTTCTCAATCGATTTGACGACTCTATTGACACAAACACACACACTGTCAAACAATAACTAAAGTTACGTTACTATTTTCAGCGATAAACCTATTGATTGATGTGTCACAAGAGTGTGCGATAAAAATCTAGAAGATATCTCCAGTATTTGGGTTGTGATTTATACCTATCGACATTCCAAATAGCATTTAGACGGACTAAATGTGAATTGTATGTTACATTCGACTGTAACTATAAATAAACATTATCCCAAAATAATTTTTCCTAACTGATAACATGCCAGAGAAATATGTTCTTTCGCGCCTTTCAACTCTTCCTGATTTTTTTTACTCTCACCTTTTCCACGCATAACACAAATTTTGCGTCATCTACAACACACCAATGGGGATTTATAAGGACAGAGTTCAATAAAAATAAACTTACTTAATCTTCCGAAGCTGTGTGACAGTCGCTTCTTCAGCTTCTGCAGGGCTCCTCCTTTTTTCTCACGCATCGTCACGCCTGTTGGGAAGACACATGACCAAAATAAGTCATTTTTCTCTCTCTCTGGTTATTATATACAATGTGAAATCAGCAATTAATCGAGAGTGAGGAGAAAATGAAAGACACATTCATTATTCATATCGTGGCAATGAAAATAAGTGGAATAATCTTAAACATTTGCCAGATATTCGCCATTTCTTATTAATTATTAACATGGGAATACAAAGGCGAATTAATTCCCGGCATTGTTAAACATCTGTTGGCATTTTTTACGCGCAAGTGCATGTGTGTGTGTGTGTGTTTTGAAAGTGAAGGAAAAAGAAATATTCACTGCAACACACACACATGCACTATAAATATTTAGTTGGTCCGACAAATTCACAGCCACGAAAGGAAAAAGGTGAAGAAGAAAAAATGTATCCAGCAGAAAGTGATAAAAGTCTCGTGATTGTATCCATCGCCACCTGTTCACACAACCACTTCATAAACACGCACTTTCGATACATAATTCCAGAGAGACGCAGACAGCCCAAAAGCTGTGCCATAAACAACTATGTAAAACCCCTATTTTATTGATGTTCTTGGAACAAGTGAAAAAATATGTCTCTTCCTTCAGGCACATTGTCTCCATCGTGGCATCATTTTCGTCTTCTTATCTGTCTGTTTGCAAAGGTGTGCAATCATCGCGTCTCTCTCTCTTCATTGCTGATCAAAAGAGATTTCACTCTCCTAAAGATAAAATATTTTCCAGCAATTGCACCGGCACATCTTATATAATATGATTCATAATTTGAGAGAAAACAAAGACCCTCAAATGCTTTTTTTCCCACTGAAGAAACCTTGATTTTTCCAACCATTTTTTTTATTCCTCTAATGTGGCGGCTTTCATAATGACGTTATTTACACACTGAGACGAGAATGTTCTTAAGGCCGACATTTACCATCTGCCAAAATGAAACTTTAAAGCACACATAAAGGCGTTTAGGTGTTGGTCCAAGATGTGAAAGAAAAAAATTAATTAAAACTCCACATAACACGAGCTAAATGGCCATTTTGCGCTGCCGCTCATACAGAAGGTGAGCCATGAATGCTTTCCACACTTCCATAAACTCTTGACTTAGTTTTCACAAGACACACAAACCTAATCCATTATATTCTTTCTGGGTCCCTTTTCTTGCCTCATTTTCCACCACAGCAAATATAAATTTAATCTTGTGGTCTGCTACAAAACCCCTTTTCACAGAGAAAGAGACAGAGAGAGATAATTAAATGATGAGAAAAAGGTCGACGTGGGGAAAGAGAGAAAGAATTTAGAGGAAATAAAAGCATGACAAGAAGTGGAAGAGTGAAGTTTGATAAGTTGAATAGTGCATGAAAAGGGATACTTAAGACAGCGTAGAAGATCTGAGGATTTTCAAGTACTCTCGACAGTGACTGGAAAATTAATAAGGCCAGCTCAGGGGAGAGAGATGTCTGAAATCTGTAAGCTTCTGTGCAGAATCTTCAACACTTCAGACACTTCTGAACGCCTTTGAAGGCATTCGTCACCAGTTTTAAGACTTCTTTAACTGTTCTCAACTGTTTCTACTGAAAAAACCGCTCTTCCAGACTGAATTAATATTTTTGAGGTTATAATTGATTCTTTTTTAAGCTTTTTCCCAACCAATATGAAGGTTTTTCCAACCGAAATGCTTAATTCTGCTGAGAAAAAGAGAAATATTCCCACCAAAATTCGTCTTTAAATCAATAACAAGGTAAAATAATGCAGAAAATGCCTCAATTTCTTGTGAAACAAAAGCTTTTGCAATGCAAATATTCTAAATATTTTACTACTTCCAATTCTTAACACTCCTGTGAAGTTGTACACCACTTCCGTCTATAATATCTGCCCCTTGGGTCACCTCTGAATCATAGTATATAGAAAATTCACCGGTAATAAGGATAAACAAAGACGTTACAATCATCGACAATCTAAGAATTCTCCATAAATTCACTTATCTATCATTTTTCACAATAACTCCGCAAATCTCCAGCTGACAAGACCATGAGTAATTTCCTCAAAACTGATAAATCTATACGTACGTTTGGTGGATGGTAGAGTTTTGGAGGAGATTCTCTGTGAGCACGACGTCTTGACGACTTTTGATAGACACTAATATATTGAAATAGTGGGTGGAAATAAATTCCGCTGAATTTATTTCTTGCTAAATTATGCGCTTCTCTTTGGTTTGTGTGATTCTATATCACAGAAGCTGCTGATTTTTTTTTATTATTTTGCTATATAATTTCCGGTCGATTTATTGCTCTACACAAACTATTTACTTCAATACACAACAATCTCAAGCACAACACAACGAGCGACACTTTATTTTTGGTATCGGCTGTTTTTCAATTTAAAACTGTGGTGGATGAAGTTCACGATGAACACTTATGCACAAGACGGTGAGCCCGAAGGAATTAGTTAAGGCGACTCAATTGGCGGACACACAAGGTTGAGTTCACTGAACAATGACCTCATGAACGGTGAAGTGTTTTTCTGCGAAAGACACCGTCTTGACTTCACCATATACGAAATGGTTCATAGAAGCCAACCTCAGAGTGACTTATTACTCAATACCCTCTTTTTTCTTTTCTTATATTGTAGCCAACTCACACACTTGAGTCTCTGACCGATTGAATTTTTAATTGATTCCCACGAAATTTATTCCAAACGATGAATCACTCTTTATTTTCCTTTTTCTTTCTCTACGCACACTTTGAAACACTCTCTCTCAAGAATTCCATGAAATTATATCGAACACTTGGCGCTTTACTTCTTATTCTAATTTTACCTCTTGCTTTCACTTTCACAAAAACCGGGCGAAGTCACTTCTTGTTTGCAGAATTTTTTTGATTATATGTATTATTATTTTTATTTCACTCGCCCAAAATATTGATAAGACTCTGGAGTGTGTCTGTTATGGCAGTTTTTTGCAAACTTTTTTATCAAAAGCAACCACTGATAAACCTCGCACTTTCACAGAAGCCTCGTTGAATCTCGCGCCTTGGTTCACACTTCCTCCCAATTCATCACCACGCGCGCAATTCAGCTGATAAGATTCGCCCAGAAGCACTGCTTAGAGACTGACCAGCGGAATGTTGCTCTCCACTTCTTCTGCCCAGGAATTGGGCCGCAGAAGCCCTTCTGTTTCCCAGGAAAATGTCACTGATGTGTGCAGATCAAGTCTCTCTCTCTTTATCTCTCACACACCAAAAGAAACAAGACACCGTCCACCTTGTCAGCCCAGTTCTCGCGATCAAAAACCCGATCCGGAGTGTTGGAATCGACGTTCACGACTGAATCGCGTCAGTTGGAAAGCTTGACGAACCACCTCAACAACAGACAGCGACGGAATGATGACGACAGCACACATTCATGTGAAGGCAAACACATAAGCAAAGTATGGTTAAATAACACCCGCCAAAGTGACCAAGTGAGCCGGATAAGTTGCAAATTCCTCTGCTTGCACGCTCAGCAGCCAAGAGCCAACTGGCTCGGGAAAGCTCGCGTGGACCGTCGCGCAGGATGATGAACCCAGGAAGGGATGAACGTCATCATCCTTCGCATTTGGGGCACGCGCGCGCACGAAAGCTCCACAGCAAAGCTCCCACTCTCTCTCCCTGCCTCCCTCCCTCTTCTCCCCAGCATTTTGCTACTTTTCTCAATGAAAATCCCTGCTCACGGGAATATGTTATATCAGCACAACTGTGTCGCATAGCATTTCAATGGATCGACCAGTATTTCAGGGTAATTTTTGTGGGTAATTTATGGCCGGAATAGTGTGTTGGATTTACCATAAAATCCCAGAAAGGAGTACAGCAGGGCTCAAGCTGTCATCCAAAGTGATTCTTCAGACATCAAGGGTCGCAATCAAATGAATTTTGAATGTATCTAAATAATATGCAAGTGGATTTATGCAATTCCACTCAAATGACGATAAATATTGGATTTTAATGAACTAAAAGATTCATTAAAGATTCTCACTCTCAAAGTAACCAGAAAAATTGACTCTTAAATTGAGTCTTTGATCTCAAACTGAGCGTGAATAAGAAACTGATCAATTAAAAAACTCAAGCCAAGGGGGAGATAATAGAGTAAGAAGCTCAGAAAGCAGAAATGTTCAAAACTTACAATCTTCCTTTACTAAATGCTTTATTTACTTACAAAATTATCCAAATTCTTCGATTATATCTTGATTTCTTAACGTAGAATCAATCGCGATAATGCTTTTCTAGGTTATGTAACGAATCAAGAACTTATTTACTGAATAATTTGCATTCTAATGCAATAATTCTTATGCTCAAATTGACAAAATTGCTAATCTTTGACATAAAAAAGCATTTATATGCAATAAACATTACTATTCTGTACATTTGATGCCAAGATCGAACATAACCTCAAAAATACTAATTTTAAATTGAAAAATGTTTATTTAGAACACTTCCTGATAAGTTTTGACTGCAAATCATCAGTTTTCAGTCCATTGGCAAGTCAAAGCAGTTGATTTTCTGATCTAGAAAGATTCCAAACGGAGATTCTGAAGATCTTTAAGTGATATTTTGAGGTTATGACCGGAAAAGATGTCCAAAAGGCGGTTTCTTACAAAACTATCAGATGGAAACTTAAGAATTTCAAGTACTGAAAGTGTCAGGAAGTGATGTACAGATTAAAAGGCATATTATCTCCCCCTTGACGCAAGCAACGACGAAGTGCTTTTTTTTATAAACAAAGATATGGTTTGATAATCAATAAATCTCGGTCAGACAACTTTTAAGAGCGCCTCGTGTTAAGTCAAGAATGCTAATAATTGCATTTTAACAGCTAACAACAATAAACAATAATTAAGGCAGAAATTATTGCTACATCAAAGAGGTACACACACATATATATGTATACCATAAATATTACGACCATTTAATTGAAACGCGCGCGCGTCTTGAAGTTTCAGTCCAGTGAATCTCAACGTCAAGAGAAGTGCTTTTGTGAAAAGCACAAGACATTTTCTCCAGCGGAAGAAAATTCTTTCCCTTCATCGCGATGCGTGAAAAGTTGTCAAGGAGTTTTATAATTAAAATTCTTCATGTGATAAATACAGTACAGGTAAATTTGCTCTTCACTTTCTCGTCAAATACAACATAACGAAAGGGCGAATGAAATTCATTTTGCTAGTAAATTGATTATGTCAAATATACCAGAGAGTCAAAGTTTTATTGGAAAATTCTCTCTCTCTCTCTCCAGTTGCAGAAATTTTTACCAATTTACAGACGCACACAAAATGTCGAAATCATCAATTTGACAAATAGGTTGAACATAAGGGGAAAAAAAACATACAAAATTTATCTGAAAGTGTGCTTGAAAAATTGTAATGCCTCGAAGGACCATTAGGCAATTAATTGAGCGAAAAGGCAATTTCAATAATAATATTTTTTCGCTGTACTTCTTTTCTCTTCTCTCCAAAAGCACACACAAACACACACACGGCGCCTCATGAATAAGCACACTTTTTGCCAATTGAAGATTATATCACACACATATATAAAACACCTCATTATGCACATTGAATGCGCCACATGTTACTCCGTGCGAATTGCTCAAATAAACCGTACAAATGATATAGTAACAAGTACAACTCTCAATTTGATATCATTATGACGAATTGAGTCACGGACTGAAGGCTGTGTGTGCATAATATTATTAGCAATTGAACACCGTGAATTGCAGCGCTTGCCATTTGCATGGGCAGAGACTTGTAATAAATACGGTTTAGTGCACGGAAACCGGGCAAGAAATCAATATCCAGGCAGAGATAAATCTCCATTAGAAGAAACGGGAAGCTAATGAATCATTCAGTGGCCATTAGAAGGTATTGTTCAGCTCCTAAGCATGTGCTTTTGAATTATTTCAAAGCCACTTACAATTGTTAGATCATTGCAAAACTCTTCTTCTTCACCGTCTGAATGTCATATTTGCTATCAAACAAATCTAAAACCATAGAAAATCAAAATTATCATTTTTCAAGAGAATGAGTTGAAAATTTAGTGTTATTATCGCTTCGAAACTTATTAAAATTATCCTTAAAATACCCAAAATACCTTCTAAATAATAATTGTTTTCTGAATTCTTCCGTTGATTTTATTGAAATTTGATAAAAAAAAATTTACTAAAAAATATGGTAAAATTAATAGATAAACGGAAAATATTACTTTCCACAGTCGATTTTTAATAGTTTTCGAGTACATTTTATTCATATTTTTCTTCAAAATTTTCAAGTAAAAAATTATAAAAAATAAAAAAAAATTCATTCAAAATCTAAGAATATTTTAGGCAAATTCTATTGTTTGGAATAATTTTCTTTCAGAAAATGTCCATCGTAAACTATAAAAAGGCATATAAAATTCTTTTTCAGTCGTATTTTTCAGACGTAATCAATGAAAAATCGACTTTTCATAGTTTTCTCTTCATCCATTGATATGCATTGAATTCTTGATTTTCTGCTTATAACCAGTATAGAGAAAAACATCAACTTTCTCTCTCACTCTGATGCTCAGCAATTTCCATTATTCACTTGTTTTTCTACCCATGCAAGGACACTTGTAAGGAAAAACTTTTCCCTCACAACAGAGAGAATCTGAGGAACAAAACGAAAGTGCCATGTTAATAATTAAGCAGCAACTTAGAATCCTGACCGTGACCACGATTGCTCGAAATTAGATATTGAATCCGGCCCCAGATTTAGTAAGTGTGAGAGTTGAATGTTGTGACCTAAAATGCGCCTCTCTCAATGTTCCACTTTCGGGGATTGCGGAGAATCCCTGGATTCCCGCATAAAGGAGCGCCTGGGAAAATCGAACAGATGCAGAGATAGGGATGCCAAGATAATCTCACTAATGCCCATATGCGCCCACAAACCCAGGGAAATCCCGATGACCAGAGGCATTTCATCTAATTGGAAGGACAGCAAACTAAATTGCGTGAGACAAGAAATCACTTCCAACCTTTGAGAAACTCCACTTCTGTGTTCACGACATGGAAATTCAATGAATATTTTAATGCAAAATGGCCCAGATAACGCTCGAGGAGTTAATTCAATTTTTATCACCGCAGAGTTGATAATAAATGAATTTATGATTATCATGGAGGAAATGCTGCAAGACACGAAATGTGAGGAAAGACGGAAATTTCACAGAACATGAAAGCTTTAGAAGATTGAGTGCAAAAGAAAAATGTGGGGAGAAATGAAAATTGTCGTTTCACAGCATCAAAGGAACACATTCAAAAGCAAAGAGAGATTAGCAGCCATAAGTGGTGAAAAAAAAGGATAACGAAACGTAACATTAAATTTTTCTTTCATCCAATAATCCCAGATAAACGTAACATTAAATAAAAATGAGGGAAAAAGGGTTCTAATAGTTATAAAAGGCTGCGGTAAATTGGTCAGTTAAAATTCTGTTTGGTCAATAAACAAATGCACAAAAAACATTTTGCCAGTAATTTTGCTGTTTGGTCAGTAAAATAATACTTTGGTTAGTATTTTAGCTTTTTACATTGTAAATTTGCAACGATTTACTGACCAAATTTAATATTTTACTGACCAAACAGATAAAATACTGACAAAATTAATTTTTTTACTAACCAAAGGTTTTAGATATCGACGACTGAATCGAAAACTATAGAAAGAAGTTATTTTTTATAATTTTCGTCTTGAGCATTTTTGAAAAGCTCTTGATCTGTTTTATAACTGAAAAAATTTCAGATTCATTTCTTACGATGCAACAGTAGAAAATCAGATTCATCTCAAAAGTCGATATAAAATGAAAAATATTGAGAAATTATGAACAAAATAATCACTTTTGAAGTTTAGATGTTCAGAATTTTTTAAATGTTTTAATGTCGATTAAAATCAACATTTGAAAAATTTTAAATAAATAACGAATGAAATCAACTGAAATATTATGACTTTATTGAATGATTAGAAAGTGTTTGATGTAAAATTCGGCAAATTATCAATTCTTATTCCCCTGAAAAATTACAATTTTGGCTTTCCATACTTTTCCATTGACCCTTCGATATAAAGGAAGATTGAAAAAGATATTGAAGAGCTGAGAAAACTTCTTGAATTTCGATTGATTCGGAAGCTTCACTTTAATCTGTCGCATAACAATTGATTATGTGTAATTGAAGTTTGCTAATCATCAATCCATGAAGCGCAGCATCAAAGCATAAAGGTATGGTTTCGATATCGAATAACTGGGTTTGATGATGGGACATCATCATGTGTAGGAGTTTCGAGAGCAAATACATTCCTGCAGTGAATGGAATGAAGCGACAAAGCGGAAAAACCGCAAACATTGGAATCTCCAAATACCACAAGGATATCACATTATATCGAATCTTCCCATTTCCATACATTTCTCCGCCTCATTTTCCCAAGAATGTCTGCATATTTGCCAATCAAGGGTGATGACA